CCCCCCCCCAAAAAAAATGCGAATCATCCCGATTGGCAGCGCAATCAAAGATTTTAAATGATAGAATTTACAGTTATTAAGTAACTTATTACACCTAGCAAACAATAAGCAGGTAGTATGCATGTACATTGGCATCGACAATTCAATTATACACATGTAGCTTAGTGATGTATTGTATTAGCGCTGACGCTACAGGGCATCATTAATTTTGGCAGGGCAATTCTGCCCCACATCCTCCTAATAAAAAGGGGCTAGTTTCGCCCCTGTTTGCAATTGTAGGGCGCCGCAGTTTAGCATTGTGTGTGTGTGGTTGGTCTATGGTCCCATTTTTTGCAGCTGTTCCAGGTCATGTTTAAAGTATGTATAAACCTTCAATATACATACATAGCATCTGCTTCCTTCTTTGGTATAATCTCCACACATTTTTCTGAATAGTCCTCTGCAGCACTGGCCTAAGCAGTCACTATCTTCGCTGCACTGAAAAATATAAGATGTGGAACAAATAGCACATGCAGATACAGAACGATCATAGTAATTTATATAGTAAATGTGTTTATAATCTTTTTGGCTTTACAGTCGTGCATTCCAATAGAAGCGTTCCGAAAAATGTTGACCAATTCATTTCCTAACTTGAAGGAACACCTCTGAATAATTCCTCAACAATTTGATAAGTTCCTTAAAAAGTTCCTAACTTCCTGTTTCGTTAACCAATCAAATTTTATATTTTATTTTTGAGCAATCTGATTGGTCAATGAAACAGGAAGTTAGTAACTTTTTAAGGAACTTATCAAATTGTTGAGGAATGCTTCTATTGGCACGACTGTAATACGCCGACTATATTTGGTAGGCTATAGTATAGGAAATAAAATTATTTCGAGTGCATGCAATTTCAAAAACAAAACATGCACGAGTGACGTTTAATTCAAAAGTCAGTGAAAGAACACCCCACTCATGCGCATGAGCCGTGAAAATACGGCGTACTGGAATGTTCAAAGGAATTTCTACGATTAACATCTCTACAGCGCAAATTCACATGTGGGTATGATCAAATGCACTTTACATCAAGTATCACACTTACCTAATTATAGTTATTTTTGTGTGTGTGTGTGTATTGGTGTGATGTACTCAGGTGAATATGATGTTTGTGGTGTTACTCTGAGTATGCATCCACACCAGGCAAGCTGAAAAGTTTGCTTGGCCACGGTGGGAATCGAACCCGCGACCTTTGGGATACTAGTCCAATTAGTTAGTCTATAGTTAGATTATGGTTAGCCTAGACTATTTTATCTTCTCAACAGTTGTGATATAACTTTCTTAACTGTGTTTATCCTAACACAACCTGAAACATAACCTGTCAACTTTCCCTGTGGGAGGAAACCCGAGCACCATGGAGAAAACCCACGACTGTGGGTGACGAGTGTCGACTGACTCTTTTCACATGACTATACAAATTATAGTCGCCTTTGTCTTAAGAGTAACATTTTATTGTTGATGATCACCTTGCCAAACTCACTAACATGATATCTTGTAGGCCGTTTGAATCACTGTCGTTCTTCTATCGCATCTAATACAATTAAGTTCGGTATATGAAAAAACGGGCCTAATCCTTTAAAGACATAGTACACTTTCCATTAACACGACCAGACGTGTCAAATTGTTGAATGAAACACAAAATGTTTGGTCTTTGGAGAAGGAGGTCCATTTTCGCTAAATATTTGAGAAACCTGGGCCAAATCTTCAATTAATATACAGTATACAGAGACAGAAATTCTGCATGGTCTGACCACGAAACGGAAAGAACTCATACTATCGCATCCATTTAATTAAACTTAATTAATAGAGAGAACTGTCATAAATTATTTCCTCACGCAGACTTAGTAAAAATATTCCTGCATTGAGGGCAGCTGCCTATACTAAGTTCTCACCACAGCCGCTTGGTACACTTAATAAAAAGATTATGAAAGCCTTCGTACAACCGGCTCTGAAAATTAGCAATCCTATATAAATATATATATATATATATAACATAAACAAACTAAAGTTGGTCAAAAAACAACTTACCTCGTTGCCAAAAAGAAACCGCTTTTCTTCGTCTGCCATGACCAATGCCACCAAAACGAGTACCACGAATAACGATTTCATTTTCTTACTGGAACTCACACGTTATTTTTGAAGACGAAGTTGTTCGCAAGACAAGCTATCCAAAATGGCTTGAATTTTACCAAACACCCTTATTATCACAAAAATTACAGGAACGGCTGAGTAAATTATATATCGTCGAAGTTAATTAACGTTTGTTTCAAAGATTTAGCATCACAAAAAAGCGAAACTATGTATAGTTTTTGCGTAAATATCCCTTGCTTCGGTTTACATTTAGTATTGGTTTTTCATATTAAAGTTTACAATGCGTTATTATGAAATATTTTGTTAAATTTTCAAACACTCATTAATAATTCATAAGCTTATTGGCAAATCATGTCAACCATAATACGTCACGTGCAGTGGCTTTAAACCTGATAAAACACTCCTAATTAGTATTCTTTATATAAAGAATACTAATAAGGCAGTATCTATTGTAGGCGTGTCCTCATTAGTAATATAAAGAATACTAATAAGGCAGTATATCTATTGAATTTGTAGTCGTGTTTGAAGCCGTTTAATAAACTCGCAGGTCGTGTTTTATTAGGTCTAAAGCCACTCGCGCTGCGCGCTGGTGGCTTTAAACCTAATAAAACACTCCTGCTCGTTTATTAAACAGAACTTAATATTACACTGCCCGCGTTTTCAAAATTACACGACCAGGCCGAAAATAGCTAGGGCTGACCACGGGATATAGGACAAGTGCGATTTCAGCATGAGCTCCACCTATGAATTTACTATACGAGTAAATTGTTAAACACGTCCTAACGAGTAAATTGTTAAACATACGAGTAAATTGTATATTAACTAATAGTAACAATAGTAACTATAGACGTTAAAGTTTGTAGTAACTACAGACATTTAAAGATGAGAATTGGGTACAAACACACGTTAGCTAAATTTGTCTATTCATCTCAATGCCCAAAGCATTCGCCTATCAAAATTTAAATATCTACGGTATCTTCTATACGGATCATTTGCGGAAATCCTCTTCAAATTTTCTTTAAGTTGCGGCGAATGAAATTTGTTGAGGATTATGAATGCGCAACTAATCTTAGTTGTGGTTTCACCAAATTTTCAGTGAAGAAAGCCAGAAAAATGCTGATTACGAAAAAAAATACGTTTAGTGGGAGGTTAATAAACAATACGGATTTCCCGCGAAATGGACCTTTAACCTTAGAACTAAAATTTTGATCTAGACAAGTCTAGACAAATATTTCATCACAGCTTGAAAGAGCATCACAAAATTAGTAGCTAATATTCAGAAGTTTCGTTGCGAAATGTTGTAAAATGCGAATAATATAGCCTTGCGACGTTTGCCGTTTTTCAGTCATTTTGTATTACGCATGGGGAATTGACAGCCCAATTTAAATTTTGTAATACAAAATTACTGAAAATTGCAAATTTCGCAGGGCTATATTATCCGCATTTTACAACATTTCGCAACGAAACTTTGGAATATTACTAATTTTGTGATGCTCGTTCAAGCTGTGATGAAATTTTTGTCTAGACTTGTCTAGATCAAAATTTTAGTTATAAGGTTAAAGGTCCATTGACGCACGTACAAAATTGCCGTTTTGAAACTAGGGATTAAACCGGTTATCTTATCAATTTACAACGTTGGTTGTGTCACAACTTATTCCACGTTGCAGTCGGTTTCAGCACTTTTTGGATTATTCATTGGTTTATAGTGATTTTAATTGGAATCGTTGTCCGATTGTCTACACAGCCGTAAGAACAACACGGTATATCAAAACACCATTAAAAAACCCGGAGAAGGCCACTGCACACGTTTTTGTTACTTTATATATACTTATACCACGGTTAATCTACGTCTATTAACCGTGCTTATATACGAAGATTCAAATTGCGATATCTAAAAAATTTACGAAAAACTGTACACTTATTTTTTTGTTGTTTTGTGATGTTACTCTGAGTGTATATCCACACCGGGCGAGCTTGAAAAATATGCCCGGCCACGGTGGGAATCGAACCTACGACCTTTGGAATACTAGCCCAATGCTCTGCCAACTGAGCTACGCGGTCAGGTCGGTTCGAGTAAGTGATATTTCAAAACAGAATCTAGTTCCTTCGATACCAATGTAATCTAGTAATATGATTTTTTTTTTCTGTGTTGGTCTGTTCCGAAATATCACTTACTCGAACCGATCTGACCGCGTAGCTCAGTTGGCAGAGCATTGGGCTAGTATTCCAAATGTCGTAGGTTCGATTCCCACCGTGGCCGGACATATTTTTCAAGCTCGTCCGGTGTGGATATACACTCAGAGTAACATCACAAAACATCATATTCACCTGAGTACACAACACCAACACAGAAAAAAAAATCAACTTATTTTTTTGTTTTTATGGAATATCCGTACTTCCGTTTAGTTGGGCAGAACAAGAAAAGTCCGAGGTACCAAACGTATTTTTTCTTGCTCAGCACTTTTCTGGCTTTCTTCACTAAAAATTTGATAAAACTACTTAGTTACCACAAATTAGGGCAAAAATTCTCCACATTTATGTTCATTACGTATAGTTGTCGTGGCATTTACCTTATTGTGGTTTATTTGCGTTCCTTATTTGAACAAGAGTTTTGTTCAAAATTACTTAAGGAAAGTTGTATACATAAACGCAAATTACTGCCAATCACTAAATCTGAAGCGAGCAAACGTACTGAATAAGCTCATTAAAGCGCGTAATTATTGTCTGAAAACAAAATTGTTCAATTAATCTTTGGTTGTATGGAACGAATGAAGAATAATTACTGTAAAATAAGTTTGTTTTTACACTTAGGCTTAGCCGTTAAGATGTTCCATTTTGTTTTCAATAATGAATTGCAAAAAATTGTATTATCGTTTTTGTCAATTTTCAAATGAAGTTCAAATGAATTAATTAATTAAAATTGAGTGAGCAGTGGCGCAGTGTATATAGTTTTAAATTCGTCTAGATTCGACGATGAAAAATTGAGAAGGAATGTGAGTGTCTTCCACAGAATTAAATTGTCAAGTATTCTCAAATCAATATTTCACACTGTGTTCCACAATCAAATCTAATTTATTAAGACATCTATATTTTTGTCCAATTAAGTGTTTCCACAATGCAAGAAATTCCGTTTCAAAGACCCAAAGATAAACTTTTTCGGGGGGAGTATGACCCCCGACCCCCTACAATTGTTACTTACAAATTATTAAGATTCCCCCCGCCCATAAAAATCCTGGCGCTGCCGCTGTGAGTGAGATGAATAAAGGGTATACCATGAACCAATTTTTATTGTAATATTTTAAAAGCTTGTTAATGGTTATGTTATAATACATATGACTATATTTATTGAGTGTTGAACACGTGGTTATATACACATTGTCATGCGGTAATAAATATATAGCAAGAATTATATTATTTTCTAAAAAAGAACATATGATATTAAAAATGTAAAACCCCCATCGTTACATTGTGAGTAGTTTTGTCTATGTATAAAAATTGCGGTTATATATAACAGTGGACACTCAGAAAATTGTAAACATTTTCATTCTTTACCGTTTCGACTGTTAATTTAAGTCATCCTCAGAAGAAAGAAGATGACTTAAATTCAAGAGGCACCGTACGTACAATTCTCTACACAGTAGTCTTGTCTTAGCCACATGTATCGACTATAACTGTTAAAAAGCTAACAGAAGCAAAAATTCGAAGCACCATATGGTTTCTATCTTCTCACGAGAGGTGTGGTGACCATACGACATCACATATGCCCGCGATTAATATTCAGCAGTACAAGCTATACGCATCATCCTCGTTTTATAGATGCTAATTTGTGGACGCAATTTCCAATCGCGGTCAATCACTTGACAAAACAAGAACGGCCACGCAAATATGCAGCATGTTTCTGTTGCGCGTCTCTACTATATTGTCGACTTCTGGTTGCTTTTCAAAGCGACCGACAATAACCCATTCTAAAAAATGCATAAAACCTAAATCCGTGTGGAGATTCCCGAAAGCTTCGCATTTCCACGAATCCTGACAAACCGACAACGGTCTGCAACTTCGAATCTTCTTCGCAGCAAAAAATATTGAAATATACTCTGCAGCCGCGTGGGAGAAATCGTATTCCAGCCACCATGCAGCTCTTCACAAAAACAAAGAGTTTAAAAAGCCGCGTTGTGGTTATATTTGGTCTTTTTCATTGGCACTGCAGGGCATTGTAATTCACGGACGCTCGATTCTAAATCCTCGTGTTTTATCTTCACATCCTCACTGACTTCGGCTTGTTCATGTTGAAGCTTTGCAGAGCAATCCTTTGATTGCACGGGACTTGAATCGCCAAATGTATTGTACAAATCGTTTACGCTAAGTTGATTAGATAGAGTAGAGGATTTCAATTGGGCCTGAGTACTTTCAACAGTAAACAGTTTACCTTCCGTAGTCTTTATAGCCGACCTTAATTCCTCTAGTCTAGACTCACTTACTTGTACTTGCATATCGATTGGTTTTTCTACATTACTTGATTGGATAGGATTTGTATCAACATACGATTTTTTTAAGGTATCTTTTTTGAGCTTACTGTCCTCTTCATAGTTGGCTAGGTCCGTATTTTCGTATTTTACAGGAGCCATTATAACTGGAGGGGCGTCTGTGTCTTTGAAAGGTGATAATGGAACATAAGGCGGTATTGTCATGTTTAGATGTCTTGCAAGACCTTCCACGACACGGTCTACATAACCATGGATCACCAGGCACGCTTTCTTGTCCTGTGAAAATGAACAACTAGTTTTAACCGACGAGAAGCATTTATACACACGCAAAAACCTCACATCTTGTAGCAAGTCTGCCAACAAGCCGTCAACAAGTTGTATTCGCACTGTTTGTCCCGAGTTGTCAACAATGGAACAACTTATTAACAGTTGTAACAACTTTGTTGATATTATCAGACTTATAGTAACATCGCAAGAGATGCATGCACTCTGCATGCACTCAGAGTAACATCGCAAACATATTATTCACCTGAGTACACAACACCAACACAGAAAAATTCATATTATCAGACTTGTTGCAAGGTCGTTCCAACCATAGACAACAAATCCGAAACAGTCATGATATAACAATATTGTTGCAACCTTGTAAAATTCTTGGTACATCATGACTGTATCAGACTTGTTAGAACAACCTTGTAACAAGTCTAATAATGCCATCAGCAGTGCAAACACGACTTGTCCACAGTTTGTGAACAGATTTGTAACAACTTGTTTGCAGCTAGACCTGTAACAATTACTTGTGCGTTTTTACGTGCATGTGTACATTTAATAATAATCTAAGAGCAACTTGCTCGGCAGAACAAGTTTAAAGGTTTTTCATGGATGAGAATTTGACCAGACATCAGACAGAATATCAGACATTTTGTCGCTACTTTGGTACTTTGGTTGAAGTAAATACCCAACGTTTCAACACTCCAGTCTAGTGTCTTCATGCAACCAGGTATAATATCACACATGATTCGCTACTCTGGTTGAAGTAAATGAATGCAGTCCCCGAACAAATTACATTCACAACCCAACGTTTCAACACTCCTGTCTAGTGTCTTCATCAGGAGTGATCGAAGATCGCAACGCGACGGCTCCTCGAGTATTTAAGGAGCTACTTTGCGACTTTAGATTACACATTCACACCTATATAATGAAGACACTAAACTTTGGGTCGTTAACGTAATTTGTTCGGGGATAACATTCATTCACTTAAACCAAAGTAGAGAAACATATCCGATATTATACCTGGTTGCATGAACTCATGAAGACACTAGACTGGAGTGTTGAAACGTTGGATCGTGAATGTAATTTCTTCAGGGATTGCAATCATTATACCAGAGTAGAGAAACATATCTGATATTATATCTGGTTGCATGAAGACACTAGACTGGAGTGTTGAAACGTTGGATCATGAATGTAATTTCTTCGGGGATTGCAATCATTAAACCAGAGTAGAGAAATATGTCTGACTAAACTGGAGTGTTGAAACGTTGGATTGTAAATGTAATTGTTCAAGGTTTGCGTTTACTTACTTAACTGGGAGAAATTGCAAAACTATGAATCCCCACTAGGAATGTTCGGTATACCGACATACCGCAAATATCGGTATTGAAACCAATATCGGTTTATCGGTTTGAGTTTTTCAGTCATACCGATATACCGAAATTTCCGATATATCGGAATTTTTCGGTATACTGTATCAAATTTACACAGACACCATGCATATGGCGAAATCATCAGTTTTTGTTTTACTCAAATGCAAAGTAAAAGAAGTAGACATTTCGTGTTAAAAACAATGACAACAGCTTCGAAATTATCATAAACGGTGTTTCTACTTTTGAAATTCTTCAAAATCAAAATTTCCTTCAAATTTCCACTAAGGAATTTTCCTATGTAATTTAAAAGGCGAAAAACCGGTATACCAATAATATCGGTATAATTTTCCCGGTATACCGATACCGGAAAATTCATATACCGAACATTCCTAGAATCCACCCACAAAAATATTTTTCCTATACTTGTACTATAACAGTACATACATGTTTAGTTTTCTGTAAATTGATGATGACCAGTTTTCCACCATGTTTTACAGTTTGGGCAGGAAGATTACCACTTGGGTTAATTTGTAAAGATGTGCCGAGACAGACGGATACATCTGCTTGTCTAAATGAAAGAAGAGTTGTTAAATTTGTATATAAATGTCCGTTCACAAATTCCACCTACTAAAAAGCCATCTTCATTCAGTTCTATCAAACGAAATACCCAAACTTGATATATAAACATGGAATAACGTTCACAGTTATACGTACTTGCAAATGGTAGTAACTAAACTAGCTTTTTGAGATTCTAATTGGTCATAATTGAACGTAATGGATTCTGAGTGACTGGACTTAAATATGAACGAACTTTGTACTTTTTTGATGCAAAAATGTTTCTAAATGTATGACAGATAAATATGATATCCAGTTGAACAAATGAAATGCAACAAGGACTTGAGAATAACGGCAATTCCTGAGCGTGATGTGATTTGCTTATTGAAAGTCAAAACTTTGTTGACCTTTGAACTCAGCCAATCAGAATCTACTGAGTTTAACTGTGACCAATCAGATTGTCTGATTAATCCATTGAACACTAGCGATCTCTCCCTGACATTGGAGAGAGTAAAATAATCAGGTGTTAGACAGAGTAAAATTGTCTGGCATTAGACAGAGTGAAACATTAAAGTTGGGCGCATTAGGGTGCAATGGGTTCACTAGACACATTGTCTGATTAGGAATAAGTCTTGCACAGATAAATGTCTATACCTTGAATGCTGTTCGGATGCAGCCAGATCATCAACTGGAAGCGAGTCTTCCCAGTCTAAGATTGTGTCACAAAGTTTACCCCTGAATTTAAAAATTAATCAATAATTACCAATCAAGATTGGGTCTAACAAAAATATCCCGGGTTTCCGACCTGGATTTTAGCCGGGATATAAAAATGCCCAAAACATTGTCAATATTTAAACAGTATAAAACGTAAAGGCCGCTTTCCACTAGACGGAATTTTCCGTGCGGAGCAGAATTTCTCTTTGTCTTTTTTAATTAGTTCCACCCGAGAAATCACAAAACAAAGAGAAATTCCGCTCCGCGCGGAAAATTCCGCCTAGTGGAAAACGGCCTTAAAACGTGGCGTCATTATTTCGCTCTGATATAGTGTGAACATAGTTCAAAATGGTAAGTATTTGGATTTTGTTCAGCAAACATCTGATTTTCTAAAATTTTATAAAGTATCAGGAAAATGCTGACCTGCATTTTCCTCTTCTGCCTCCTTTCAAACACAGTTTTCCAGTTCTCTTTAACCCCAGAGTAGTCACTGGATTCCCAAACAGATATTGCTTGCCACAATTTTCACATTTTTCTACAAACATGTTTCCATGGAGCTCTGCAAGCTTCGACCTGATGGCGCAAAAATATTAAATAATTATAGCTATACATTAATTAAGTGGTATGGTGTGGTAAGGAAAGGCATGGTATGGTATAGTATGGTATGGTATAGTATGGTATGGTATGTGGCAAGGTATGGTCCAGTAAGGAAAAGTATGGTGCGGTAAGGAATGGTATGGTAAGGAATAGTATGTTGTGGTAAGGAATGATATGGTGTGGTAAGGAATGATATGGTATTGTAAGGAATGGTATGGTATTATGTAAGGATTAGTATGGTGTAGGAATGGTAGGATGTAGTAAGGAATGATATGGTAAGAAATAGTATTGTGTGGTAAGAATGTATGGTAAGGAATGGTATGGTAAGGAATGGTATGTGAAGGAACTGATGGTATGGTGTGGTGAGGAATGGTATGGTATGGTATGGTATGGTATGGTATGGTATGGTAAAGAATGGTATGGTGTAGTATGGTGTAGTATGGTGTGGTAAGGAATGGTATGGTATGGAATAGTATGGTGTAGTATGGTTTAGGAATGGTAGGATGTGGTAAGCATAAGTAATGGTATGGTAAGGTAAGGTAAGTAATGGTATGGTATAATATGGTAAGGAATGGTATGGTAAGGAATAGTATGGTGAAGTGTGGTGTGGTAATTAGGAATGGTATGGTATGGTAAGGAATGGTATGGTGTAGTATGGTGTGGTAAGAAATGGTATGGTATGGTATGGTAAGGAATGGTATGGTGTAGTATGGTGTGGTAAGGAATGGTATGGTATGGTAAGTAGGGTGATGCGGTTTTTCGGTAAACCGGAAAAAAACGATTTTTTTTTAAAACCGAATTACTCGATGTTACTTTTGGAGAAAAACCGGAAAACCGAAAAAACCGGAAAAACCGAAAAAATCCCGCTGCATCCCCGCGTAGCCGTCTATCCAAAGAGATTGCATGACCGCTATATCTCGGCATTCCCAGTGATAGACGGAGATGACGATCCACTTCAATGGTGGAAATTAAATGCAAAGGAACTACCGTTGCTCTGCCAGTTATCGAGAAGGTATCTTGCCATCCAAGCAAGCAGTTCGCCGTCGGAGAGACTTTTCAGTAAAGCGGGGCAAGTTAGCACGCCGGCACGAGCACAACTTAAACCGGAGAAAGTTGACAAACTTGTGTTCCTGGCGGAG